TTACGGCAGTGCGTAAATTACATTTAAGTTCGGTTTTGAACGTATTCATTCATATCTAATATATAATATTTTAAATCATTATATTTCCTGACGTGATTTCATATATAGAGATGAAGCATAAAACATGTTTTGTATGACCATTTCTAGTGTTTATTATTGTGTGACATATCTGATATCAAAAACAGATGATAAAACTATTAAAGAAATTTATGTTTTTTTATACCCATTTTTAAACTGAATAACTCGATAAAATAAATGTTCAGACCCTTCGTCGCAGTACGACAAATGTCGTTTAGTTTAGCTAGTAAACAATAAAATAAATATACGAATTTAAATTCCATGAGCTTTAATTTTTCCTTTACTTAGTAGTCACATACAAGTCTTTTTTTTATATAAAAGTGTATGTGCCGCAGATGAAAACTGTATACTATTGGTCGATTTAATTGTTATCAGGTTTATATCGGCGACTCTATAGGATTCAGTGAAGACAATTTACAGTTAACACCATGACCTGATATCGAATAATTGGATTTAAGTCTCTAGGATTCTTAATTAGAATCTGTGTTATTTCCATTTTTACTTCAGTGTCCTACATTATTGATGAACGATTTTCTTCATGGATGTAACAAGAAACATAAATCAAATTACGATTGAATGGTATTTTTGCAGTCAATTAGAAATAGACAACGTGTGGATAGGCTTGCAAAGGTCAGCTGATGGCGTCTGGACCTGGCAGGATGGCACCACAACGACCGACACTGGCTACGAGCGCTGGGATTCAGGTTTGATTGCTTTTTGTTTGTCTTACTTAATTTGGGTTCTTTTTTGGGCTACTTGTTTCACATCTGCAATTATTATTCACTCAATATTGTATAAAATATAACATGTGCAATTTAATAGAACAATAACTCAAATATTTTATCATCGTTTGTTAAATGGTTTTTTAAAATTATTTTTTAAATAACCAACGTAACGCAACATATTACTAGAACATTGTCATGAGGATAACGTAAATAAACTTCATCTCGGAACAAATGATAGGTGTCAATATGGGCCTTCAGGTGGCTATCACCGATAAGTTATATGCATGTTTTACATGAAGTTGAAGTCAGCTAAGTGACCACTCTGCGATATGGAAAGGTAAAATGGAGGTTGAAATTCAGACAAATAATAATAATAATATACAGCATTTATATAGCGCCCTATATAATTTGTAAAATTACTCTAAGGCGCTTTACAACATATGGATAATAGTAATGGTTATAATTGTGGAAACAAACAACAAAGGCGCAATCACTTTCATACATTTAACAAGCAATGTGCACATAATTGAACAAATAAAAGGGTGGTATTTACATGACGTCTTTGCAAAGATTCTAAAATGCAGACGTGAAGACATGAGTTTTTATGTCCCTCTTGAACTTGGCCAGGGTATTCGACTTCCTAATAGACAAGGCATACTATTGACAAAACAATGTGTTATTATTGGAATATTTCTTAATAATTTTGATTTATTTTCTAAAACTAAAGCTGCATAGATATGACAGAAACAAGTAAAGCATTTTAAATAAGTGAGTCACAGCGATCTTGTTTATTATTGGTATTTTGTGTGAAGGATATACTTTATTTTGTGCCTAAATTCACAAAAGAATAATTACGGCAATCAACACCTTGTTTAGAAGCATCTTACACTTATATGGAGAAATAAGAGGGTGAAGTTGAAGGAGGACGGATCACAAATAAGGGGTTTGTTTCTCACTTTTCTGTAAGTTTATCTGAACATGTTCTTTGTTTTAGAGTAAGTAAAAGAACTAAAAACTTCTTTTAAGTTGTCCAAAACAAGAAGGCCACAGATATATAATTACATATGTGTATAGTTCCTAGAAATAAAATGCACTTTCTCTGAATATTCAGCTGTTACTTATGAAAATATAAATGCAATTTAATGTGAACAGTTATCAATGACACGATGTTATCACATCACTGCTTGTTGTGTTTATAATTGTGTATTGATAAAGAAAGAAATTTCAACAAAAACTGGAAGTATTCATTTAGTCCGGTTCCTAAGCGTGTTGGCGTCGAGACAGAAGTATAACATTTATGTTTAAACTAGCTCATTACGAACTACTGCTGCTGAAGCTGCTCCTTCGTAATGTCTTATTAGCCATTTATAGCATCTTGATATGGTTTTTTGTGCCAAAACCACAGTTTATACAAACACATTGTTTGATAAGTATAACAAAAAGTATACAAACACACATTGCACTTCATCCCCTTATTTCTCAAGAATAAGATAAAGATTCTTCCTAAAGAAAAGTTGGCTTGGGTACCGTATGGTCCTTATGTGTCTTTTGGCCGAATAGAATATACCGTGAATACTACTAAGCCGATATAGAACACGATCATTGTGACCTAGCTATCAGCAATGTCTTAGATTCTATTGGGTCAGTGTTTTTTAATATTATTTTAGCATTACATAATACATAGACACTATGAAGAAAGGTTCTAAAACAACTAGTAGTTTTGCCAGAATTCTGTCATTTATAAATTTGCACCGCCGAATTACCACCTTATATCTCGGAATGGTCTCCAGGCTTACCTTAATTTCATGTCTTATCATGACGTATATCCCAACTGTATATTTATAAAAAGATAAAACTTCTCGTTTATAGCCACAAGAAGACCTTAACTGGTACCAATTCTTTTTTACTATTATACCGTCATAAACTAAAATCTTAGATATAATTGATGTACAAATATTTCTGTTTATTCTCATTATAAACATTGTTATTCGATAAAATAAAAATAATAATATTGAATATTATAATCACTGCCATAAAAGGTCACCCACGTGAGAATAAAGACTGTGTTAGAACCGATTCGGATTTGATGTGGAACTCAAAGGATTGTAGCAATACTAAGGGCATTCTGTGTCAGCTGGTTCTAGTGTTGTATGGTACGTATGAAGCATTCAGATTTCTGATTAGTTATGTTGTGTGAAAACTGTGTCAGTGACTACTGGTCTTTTCGGTACAGTGAGCGATGTTTATGTCAACCAAATCACTATTGTTGTATGATAAGTCTGCGTTGTACATGTCAACCAAAACTAGTGTTGTATGAAATGTGTGTGAAGGTATGTCAACCAAAACTGGTGTTGTATGAAATGTGTGTGAAGGTATGCCAACCAAAACTTATGTTATATGAAATGTTTGTGAAGGTATGTCAACCAAAACTGGTGTTGTAGGAAATGGGTGTGAAGGTATGTCAACCAAAACTAGAGTTGTATAAAATGTATGTCAAGGTATGTCAACCAAAGCTAGTGTTGTATGAAATGTGTGTGAAGGTATGTCAACCAAAACTAGTGTTGTATGAAATGTGTGTGAAGGTATGTCAACCAAAACTGGTGTTGTATGAAATGTGTGTGAAGGTATGTCAACCAAAACTGGTGTTGTATGAAATGTGTGTGAAGGTATGTCAACCAAAACTTATGTTATATGAAATGTTTGTGAAGGTATGTCAACCAAAACTAGTGTTGTATGAAATGTGTGTGAAGGTATGTCAACCAAAACTAGTGTTGTATGAAATGTGTGTGAATGTATGTCAACCAAAACTGGTGTTGTATGAAATGTTTGTGAAGGTATGTCAACCAAAACTAGTGTTTGTCAACCAAAACTAGTGTTGTATGAAATGTGTGTGAAGGTATGTCAACCAAAGCTAGTGTTGTATGAAATGGGTGTGAAAGTATGTCAACCAAAACTAGTGTTGTATGAAATGTGTGTGAAGGTATGTCAACCAAAGCTAGTGTTGTATGAAATGTGTGTGAAGTAATGTCAACCAAAGCTAGTGTTGTATGAAATGTGTGTGAAGGTATGTCAACCAAAGCTAGTGTTGTATGAAATGGGTGTGAAAGTATGTCAACCAAAACTAGTGTTGTATGGAATGTGTGTGAAGGTATGTTAACCAAAGCTAGTGTTGTATGAAATGTGTGTGAGTTTGTCAACCAAAACTGGTGTTGTATGATAAGTCTGCGTTGTGTATGTTAGTCGAGACATTAGAGTTTCTATTTTAATGCTATAAGGAAGAGAAAGAAATGATATTACAATTTTCTTATTGGTGGGCGAACCTGTACTTTACGAACATATACGGCGAATAATCGACTTTTCATTTAACCTGCTTATTCCCTCAATTTGCTATTCAGAAATAATACTTGTACATGTTCACTTTAAACGCAATGCCATGAATCGTTTGATTTTAGACTGTCCTGATGGTTGGAATCGACACAACAATAGCAGAGAGTGTTATTTTTACAACTTGAATGCGAACTTTAAGTACACAGATGCATTGAAGTATTGTGCGTACTACGGAGGGGAAGTACTAACCCCGAAGACAAAGATGGAAAATGTGGCCTTAGTATCATGGATGTAAGTATTTAGATAAATATGTGGAGTTTAGGAATTAGAGACGTGGTTAGTGTCTGATAGAGTTTAGCCAACAGAGAAATGGTAAGTGTCTGATAGGGTTTAGCAAACATAGACATGGTAAGTGTCTGATAGACTTTATGAAACAGAAACATGGCAGGTGTCTGATAGACTTTAGCAAACAGAGTCTTGGTAAGTGTCGGATTGAGTTTAGCAAACAGAGACATGGTAAGTGTCTGATATACTTTAGCAAACAGAGACATTGGAAGTGTTTGGTAGACTTTAGCAAACAGACACTTGGTAAGTGCCGTATAGAGTTTAGCAAACAGACACTAGATAAGTGTGCGATAGAGTTTAGCAAACAGAGAAATGGTAAGTGTCTGTTAGAGTTTAGGAAAAGACATGGTAAGTGTCGGATAGTGTTGAGGAAACAGAGACATGGTATGTGTCTGATAGAGTTTAGCAAACAGTGACACGGTTAGTGTAAGACAGAGTTTAGAAAACAGAAACATGGTAAATGTCTGATAGTGTTTAGGAAACAGAGATCTGTTAAATGTCTGATAGAGTTTCGGAAACAGAAACATGCATGACAGGTGTCGGATGGAGTTTAGGAAACATAGACATAGTAAGTGTCGGATAGAGTTTAGGAAAAGACATGTTAAGTGTCGGATAGAGTTTAGGAAACAGAGACATAGTAAGTGTCGGATAGAGCGTAGAAAACAGAGACATGGTAAGTGTCGGATAGAGTTTAGGAAACAGAGACATGGTAAGTGTCGGATAGAGTTTAGGAAACAGAGACATAGTAAGTGTCGGATAGAGCGTAGAAAACAGAGACATGGTAAGTGTCGGATAGAGTTTAGGAAACAGAGACATGGTAAGTGTCGGATAGAGTTTAGGAAACAGAGACATAGTAAGTGTCGGATAGAGCGTAGAAAACAGAGACATGGTAAGTGTCGGATAGAGTTTAGGAAACAGAGACATGGTAAGTGTCGGATAGAGTTTAGGAAACAGAGACATAGTAAGTGTCGGATAGAGCGTAGAAAACAGAGACATGGTAAGTGTCGGATAGAGTTTAGGAAACAGAGACATGGTAAGTGTCGGATAGAGTTTAGGAAACAGAGACATAGTAAGTGTCGGATAGAGCGTAGAAAACAGAGACATGGTAAGTGTCGGATAGAGTTTAGGAAACAGAGACATGGTAAGTGTCGGATAGAGTTTAGGAAACAGAGACATAGTAAGTGTCGGATAGAGCGTAGAAAACAGAGACATGGTAAGTGTCGGATAGAGTTTAGGAAACAGAGACATGGTAAGTGTCGGATAGAGTGTAGAAAACAGAGACATAGTAAGTGTCGGATAGAGCGTAGAAAACAGAGACATGGTAAGTGTCGGATAGAGTTAAGCAAACAGAGACATGGTAAGTGTCAGATAGAGTTTGACGAACAGAGACATGGTAAGTGTCTGATAGAGTTAAGGAATCAGGGACATGGTAAGTGTCAGATAGAGTTTGACAAACAGAGACATGGTAAGTGTCTGATAGAGTTTAGCAAACAGAGACATGGTAAGTGTATGATAGCGTTTAGCAAACAGAGCCTTGTTAAGTGTCGGATAGAGTTAAGGAAGCAAAGACATTATGGCAGGTGTGTCAAAGGGTTTAGAAAACAGAGACATGGCAAGTGTCACATGGCAGGTGTCGGATAGATTTCAGGAAACAAAGACATTACGACAGTTGTCGGATGGAGTTAGGAAACAGAGACATTATGACAGGTGTCTGCTAGAGTTTAGGAACCAGAGACATTATGACAGGTATCTGATAGATTTCAGGAAACAGAGACATTATCACAGGTGTCTGGTAGATATTAGGAACCAGAGACATTATGACAGGTATCTGGTAGATTTCACGAAACAGAGACATTATGACAGATGTTGATAGATATCAGGAAACAAAGACATTATGACAGGTGTTTGGTAGAGTTTAAGAAACAGAGACATTATGACAGGTGTCTGATATATTTCAGGAAACAGAGACATTATGACAGATGTCCGATAGAGTTTAGGAAACAGACATTATGACAGGTGTCTGATAGAGTTTAGGAAACAGAGACATTATGACAGGTGTCTGATAGATATTAAGAAACAGTGACATTATGACAGATGTTGATAGATATCAGGAAACAAAGACATTAAGACAGGTGTTTGGTAGAGTTTAGGAAACAGAGACATTATGATAGGCTTTTGATATTTCAGGAAACAGAGACATTATGACAGATGTCCGATAGAGTTTAGGAAACAAACATTATGACAGGTGTCTGATAGAGTTTAGGAAACAGAGACATTATGACAGGTGTCTGATAGATATTAAGAAACAGAGAGATGACAAGTGTCAGACAGAGTTTAAGTAACAGGGCCATAACCGATGAGATGAGACATCATCCACATAAAGGAAATGGGTGAGATACATTTGTACGTGTCTCGGTACTAGCCACGGTAACGTGTAATAAACAGCGATAGTAGAATTTTAAGGTCTTTATAGTTCTTGCTTAGCAAGGCTTAACCGTTCTCCTCTGGTTGGCTACAAGTTTTATCATTTTATTTATCACGATATTCCTCCGCCACCTTGACCGTAAGTAGGTATTGTGTAAGAACCCTACGCACCGCGACTGTTTTGTAGGACACAAACAGAAACAGTTTAAACTGTAGAGTATGCATTACCTGATGACAGAAAATGTTACGGAACAATTTGTAGAAAACGTTGCAGTACAACTATATAATAATAATAATGATAATAATATTAATAATTCGAGGTTCTTATATACCGCTTTATCATAACCTAGTTCGTAGGTTGTCTCAAAGCGGTTCACAAATTATTATCCGTGGTTATAGGGCCTTCACAAACAGCAAATACCTTTCTTAACTCCCTGGGGAGCATACAGCCGGAGCTGCCATTTCGGCACTGACAGCAAGCATTCGACAATTCTAGCACTGCCCAACCACGTACTCATTTACAGCTGAGTAGACTGGACAAGCGGAGTCAAGTATCTTGCTCAAAGATACAACACAGTGCCGTGCCGTGCACGACTCGAACACGCAACCCTCCGGTCACGAGCCCGGCGTCCTACCACTGGACTACCGTGACTTCATATACTGTGGCATGTTCGCTGCAATTTTCTTAATAACATTTTCTCTCATTACACATATTTGTTTAATTGTATGCACAGATTTGTCTACATAACAAACAGTTTTAATGGAGTGGGAACCACCGTTTTAACATATAGTTAATAATTCACATGAAAGAGAAAGTATCCGGATACTTACCGTCTAAATGACTCAAAAACAATACTTCTTTGAAAATAAGCCTGTGATTCCTCACCAAAAATGAAAATAAGCCTGTGATTCCTACTAAAAATGAAAATAAGCCTGTGATTCCTTACTGTAATTGAAAATACGCCTGTGAGTTCTTGCGAAAAATGAAAATAAGCCTGTGACTCCTTACTTAAAATGAAAATAAGCCTGTGACTCCTTACTTAAAATGAAAATAAGCCTATGATTCCTTACTGAAATTAAAAATAAGCCTGTGAGTTCTTGCAAAAAATGAAAATAAGCCTGTGACTCCTTACTTAAAATGAAAATAAGCCTGTGACTCCTTACTTAAAATGAAAATAAGCCTGTGACTCCTTACATAAAATGAAAATAAGCCTGTGATTCCTTACTGAAATTGAAAATAAGCCTGTGATTCCTTACATAAAATGAAAATAAGCCCGTGATTCCTTACTGAAATTGAAAATAAGCCTGTGATTCCTTACTAAAAATGAAAATAAGCCTGTGATTCCTTACTGAAATTGAAAATTAGGCTGTGAGTTCTTGTGAAAAATTAAAATAAGTCTGTGATTCCTTACTTAAAATGAAAATAAGCCTGTGATTCCTTACGGAAAATGAAAATATGCCTGTTATTCCTTGATTAAAATGAAAATCGGCTTTATTCTTTACTGAAAATGGGGGGAAAAAAGCTTTTTGTCTCTTACTTTAAAATGAAAATTTACCTGGTATTCCTTACTAAAAATGAAAATAAGCCTGTTATTCTTACTAAAAATGAAAATAGGCATGCTATTCCTTACTCAAAATTAAAATAAGTCTGTTATTCCTAACATAAAATGAAAACAAGTCGCGGTTTATTATCCAGATTTTAGGGAAGATGTCTTATTTTGATAACATACGAATAGGCCGTTCATATTGTGAACAACGTAATTGGGCGCAATAACGTATCTTGTTTTATATACCGAACATGTTTGATATTGTTGATATTCTGGGAACTGTCTGTTTGTAGGTCTGGTAGCTTCAATACGTGGATTAGTCTCACAGACGCTGATTTAGAAGGCAGCTGGAAGTGGAACGACGGACACACGCTGGAACAAGCATTCTGGGCAACAGGTTGGTTAACAAACCTTTAAATTATGTTAGATTCGTGATGGACACATTTGTCTGGAAGGTGTGTCCCTCCAGCTACGGAAAACAAATTATGATTCAGGCTTAATACATTTATAAATGCTGGCCTGACTAAATCGGAAGTTTTCTCAGTTACTCCTAGCGGTTATAAAGTATAAGGTGACATGGGTTTCCTTGATTTCAGACATTGGTATAAGTGTTAAAAGTCATGAAGTAAAGGTTGGCTGAAACCCCTTGCTATAAAATAGGTTTTTCTTGCCAGGTCTGGGTAGATAGATCAATTCTATCATTAAGGTGAGATGAAGTGCATTTAAATATAGTTCACAAATAATCAGGAGGTTATAAACTGGTCCTGCGGGACGTAGGAGTAGCGTTTTGTAATGTTTGTCAGTTTTTCTAAATGGGTCTACTTAAACTGCTAGATACACGTCATCATTTCATGTGTATTGATTTAAAATTACTTATGTTAAAAATGCAGAATAAGATGTACTATATCAGCAAAATTTTATTTTACATTTCTTTCATTCAAAGTTAAAAAAACAGGTTTGGCAGCATGTACAAATTCTATATGTTTCCTTTCAATGATTTTTGTGATCACTATTCTGCTACTAGTATACCGGCGTACATTTGACTTCATGGTTAAGACAGCAGTAATAAAGAAAACTTAATGAATATATTTTAATCTCCCAGCGATCACATATAAGATGTTAATGAAATACCATATATTCTTTTTACTACAAAGCGAGTGTACTTTTATCGCAGATAAATGATATGTAAGACAGGTATGTGAACGGATTTCGTCTAGTAATAAGCAAACATATCGTGTAAACATGCAATTTCAGGACAACCTGACAACAGTAAAACATACTCATCTACCGGCCAAGATTGTGCGATCATTGCTAACTCGGCAAACAGTTACTGGTATGACGTGGAGTGTCTACGATACAAGCAGGTTGTTTGTCAGTGTACTCTCCCCACACCCGGTAAGTGATCTACAATACAAGCGGGTTGTTTGCCAGTGTACTCTGTCCCCTAACCCGGTAAGTGATCTACAATACAAGCGGGCTGTTTGTCAGTGTTCTCTCCCCAAACCAGGTAAATGATCTACAATACAAGCGGGTTGTTTGTCAGTGTACTCTCCCCACACCCGGTAAGTGATCTACAATACAAGCGGGCTGTTTGTCAGTGTACTCTCCCCACACCCGGTAAGTGATCTACAATACAAGCGGGCTGTTTGTCAGTGTACTCTCCCCTAATCCGGTAAGTGATATACAATACAAGCGGGTTTTTTGTCAGTGTTCTCTTCCCAAACCAGGTTAGTGATCTGTCGTAGTCCAGGTCTAATCTCCCAAACAACAGGTAACAAGTGCATCGTCTTTCAGATCAATCTCTCCAACATTCTTTTGTTATCCGTCGTCTTTCTGATTTCCTCTTCCATGGACGTCGTCAAAGACATTTGCAGTCTATCAATTAAGTACCTAGATCTTTCTGCTCAACACACGGAAATTAATCAAAGTATCTCAGTTTTAGCTCACCGGGTCCGAAGCTTATGCCATACCGTGGCGTCCGTCGTCCGCCCGTCGTTCGTTGTCCGCCCGTCAACAATTTCTTTAAACGACTTCTTCTTCCTAACCACTGATTGGAATTTAACTAAATTTCATTGGAAGCATCCCTATGTGGTGGGGATTCAAAATTGTACAAATGGCTGGGCTGACCCCCCAAGGGGCTGAGGGTGGGGCCAAAAGGGGGCAATTTGGCTATATTGCTATAAACGACTCCTTTTGTAGACTATGCCATGGATATGAATCATATTTGGTCAGAAGCATTCATGGGAGGCAGGGATTCAAAATTGTACAAATGGTTGGACTGACCCCCCGGGCTAAGGGGTGGGGCCAAAAAAAAGTGTATTACTTGGAAATGGTTGAGATCCCCACCACATAACCATATATACAGTTGCTGAGTATAAAGAGAAGATTGCATATTTGCTGCCAGGATTGCCCTAGGGTCTGGCCCCACCCTTGGAGACGTAGTCCCTGCGCCATAACTTTAAAACGGTTGAGATCCGCACCCCAAAACTATATATACAAATGCTGGGCATAAAGAGACGAATGCAGTCATGATATAAAAATAGACCCTGGGGTCTGATCGAACCCCTAGGGACCTAGTTTCTTAGTCACAGCTTGGAAACAGTTGTGATCCCCACCCTATAACAATATATACAATTGCTGAGTATAAAGAGATGAATGCACATATGCTTC